CCTCATCAAAATTTGCAACACTAGCATTAGCTTTTGTCTGAGCAACGAGCGAAACCCTCTTGATATGTGCGTCAATTCTAGCTATGTCTCATCCATCGTCATTGGGGCCCAAATGTCTAACCTCCAAATCCCATGAAGAAGGAAAAAGCTCCTGTTCATTTGCATTTGACAATGAAAATAGCAGAGCATCATAGCGTCCATAAAACCATGAAGCCATTCGGACCCAAATGGCCTTCAACAGCTCTCTTAAGACTGGGTAATAAAAATGTCTCTGTTGTTACTAAACACTCACACTCTCGCTAAGTACCGGCTACATCCCATCGCACTGGAAGCAATCAATCATAACTGAAAAGCACAAAGGTGATCAGTGAAATGGAATTTCAAGCTCCTGCCCCATACATCACAACGCTATGCCTGTAAACCCTCGGAGACATAAATAAGAACACCATTCTTCAGTATTTTTTACACGACTTGACCTGACCAAACACTTACAACATTGCTTTCTTTTAAGCAGACCGTGTGGTGCCAGCCAACTACAATTCCTCGATTATGTTGCAACTATGATTTATAAGAATCGTGGTTATCACAATTTGCTAGATATGTAAAAAGCGTTCCACTGCGTACCACATAAGCCACTATGGACTCCGTTAGAATTCTATGGTACTGGAAACCTGAGGCTACGCTGGTTCGATCAACAATCGAACCCAAAAAGTCAGCGTGAGGCGATACTACTCAGTGTCAAAAAGAACGAACACATCATCTTTCAGGAAGTGTACCTCGCCCGCTGCTCTTCCTTATCTGCATAAACAATATATGAGACCCTATAAAACATGAACGCAAATTCGCCTGGCGAGAACGTAAAGCCGGTCTAAGTAGTTCTATCAGAGAAACCGCAACTATGCTTGTGGAGCATAGGTGTAATCCTATCCGCACCGCTCGCAACTACAGGAAGCATGTCAGTGAACTACTTAGAAAGAAAACCCCAGGTACTTGGAGGTATATGTCGCCTGGCTTAAGACTCCATTACTTTAGTAGTTATTATGATCCCAAACTCCGATTCAGTTCAGCATTTTTGCATAAGACGTTCAGAGTGCATTTTCCCACATGTTCTTCAGCGAGTCGAAAAAGCCAGTCGACTATCCAGTTACATCAGCAGAAGTTTCTATCTATCTAAAACAAGATGAGTTATTCTGAGGTAACGTAAGACCTCCTCTGTAGTACAGCCAAGAAGAAAGGACAGAATAACTCTGGAAATGTTCAGCTGTTATTTAAAATATTAGCCTTGAAATGCTAGTGAACTAGATGTTACTATGATCGTTGTCGTCACCTCCGCCTGGATCTCATTTGGCTGAGATGATTGAAGGACCGTCCACTTCTTCGCATTAACATTATAAATTAGCTGGTTTCGTAGACTGTACCGTACTTGAATTTTGGAAAACCGAAATCTATCATACACTTGATGGGGGCTAGATGGCTGGCGGCATCCGTGTCCGGATTTACTTTTCACTGTGGCCTCCACGGGGACAACCACCGGACGTCTGCGCCTACAGAGGGACCATGGGTGACTTGCGCTGCGCCACCCACGGTCCTACCCACACGCCACATATCCGGAATCAACCCGAAGACCGGGATGCATGTGGATGGGAGCCACATTACATCAAGCGAGACGATCCACACTCCTTCAACAAGCAGAACAGCGGCATTCCTGCCTACTTGGGAAACCGTGCCTACCGTGCCTACCGACGTATACAAGTCGGTGTCTGGGCCGTAGTCCGTTCCACACACGATGCAACAACTCTTTGAACCTAGCACCGACACGAGGACGTTACGTTCCATCCTCTCCAGCAATGACTGACTGTCTTCTGGAGTCAGTATGAATGAGGTGGCGCGTAATAGACAGGTAGGCATCGTGTCAACGTTCACACCAGGCGCAGGCACACCGGGAAACACCACCAGCATCTAACTCCTGGAATGCAAGAATAATCAACCCTCAGAAAAATGTACCGCATCATTCGCCTTATTGGTCTGGATTAGTAATAAAAATGGGAGCGGACGCATCGCGCTTCTTCTCCGCTTGCCATAATGCCTTCTCCAGCACCTGGGCAACTGTCCTATTGATCAGTCCACGGAATTCGCACCGAACACCCTTTGACTTTGCTTCACAACACCAGAAACCAACATTAGTTCGTAGAAACACACCTTGTAGACATCCTGGTAACGTAATTTCTGTTTGTTTGAGTTTGATTCCCAACACCTTAAATCAAAATTAATTCTTGATTGCTTCACCTTGTACTTGTTCTGGTAAATTAATTTCTGTTTGTTTGCGTGCCGCATCCCTGCACTAACATGGCCGTACAAAAGCTGCATTAGTATCCTCGTCGAATTCATTCGATAAACATATATACATGGATTGGGGCATCCGTGTCCAGGGACAATTCGAATACAACATATGCACATGTTTGTCCAAAGTTAAGTATGAGATAGCACAAACTGTATAGGGACACATTAAACCTCATGAACAGTTGTACTAAAAACGGGTATGGGTTTCGTTTGGAGGTAAGGCTAACAGCCCGTTTTCGCCAAATGATGGGAAGTTGCACGGACGAGAATAAGTACCCAACACGATCTGTCGGTGTTTTCTCCAACATTTAGAGATGAAGATAAAAGACAAGCTTAAATCTGGGACAGCAATATATGAACGAAATCGAGATAGGAATAGGGAAGCAACTGTCATCCGTACGGTTATCAGGTGGAATGATAAATAAAATAATGGTATAGTAAAATAAGATGTAATGAGGTGCTGCTACCTCTGTGTGAAGTCAGGCTTACGGAGTTGATGGAGGAAATCGCAAAGCGTACGAATGCAACGGATGTTCAATTCAGGCTCTCTTTGTCGCCAACCGCCGCCTAAGACGGGATCCGTTGGATCCGCTGCTGCCCGAGATAGGTGCGGATTCTCAAAAACCGCTTTTGTGCAACTTTAAGCATTGACAGGTGGCAATACCACATTCGCCGCTTTAGGCCTCAACTAAGTCCCGCTGCCTGCTTTCAAAATTCGGCTTTCAAAACAGTGTTCACAATGTTTTGTAAATTTCCAATGACTAGCATGACTGTTTTCTAAGTAATCGACCGCTGGCACATACAGATATACTTATGAGTAGGGGATTTTGATGTAATTAAGTGAGGTTCTTCGCAGCCAGTTTCCAAATCAGATAGTCGTCCACATGAACGAAAAAGCACTAGACTGCAGTTTCAGCCTGTTGGGCATCGTCAGTAGTGCGCATCCATCGGATCCATCAGGATTCGAACCCATAACCACCAGCGGCTTGCACCGCCAGTCAGCAGCTTATGCCACCGGCTGCGAAGAACCTCACTTAATTACATCAAAATCCCCTACTCATAAGTACATCAAAATATATCCTCCCGGACAGTTTCTAAATGCTATGTCGTACATAGCTACTGTTAGTGGACGTCGTGTCTTTCGGGGCCAACGATGTCCTCTGCAACGTTCGTAACTTGTATGGCATTGGAGGATAAGACGCGCTATATCGCAGTTAGCTTGTAAATCATGACGGTCCGAAGCTGTCCCCCGTGGCCCAGTGGCATAAGCTGCTGACTGGCGGTTCAAACCGCTGGTGGTCATGGGTTCGAATCCTGACGGATCCGATGGATGCGCACTACTGACGATGCGCAACAGGCTGAAACTGTAGTCTAGTGCTTTTCCGGGCATGTGGACGACTATCTGATTTGGAAACTGGCTGCGAAGAACCTCACTACATACAGATGTGTACGCTGCTGCGGCCATAAGCTAGTTGGTAACGAATTGCATCGTACTTCTCGGGTGCTGCCATTCGAGGATCCTAAAATAATTGTAGCTGTACCCCGATTCTTTTCCGATGTAATATACTAAGACACTGACTTACCATTACCGTTTGCATTACCTTCTTACTCTAGCCAGAAGATCAGCCATGTCCAATTCTACCTCTAGTAGGCACCTCTGCGCTTTCGCCTTCAATCCGCATAGTATCTGTGTTCTCATAAGCGGTACATTCAGTATGTCTGATGAACAACGGGCAATATAGGTATGCTCACTCTCAGCACTCTCAACGGTACATGAACTGTCGACATCATGATAATTGTTAGTCAGTTAATTATCAGGAGTATACACTTGCCAAGGATTTTCTAAGGCGAGTTGTCTTCAGGTACATAGTCCAACATTTTCACAGAAGGGAACATTGTTGAACGTTGCGTTCTAAATTTTTAAACTTTACACTTTAAGGGTATTATGAGCAGTGAGGTAGCTCCTGCTGCAACGCCCACCGCTCCAGGTCACAAGCGAATCCTTCTTTAGCGCATGGTGTAGAATGCAGCGAGTCACTTAAATCCTCGTTGTCAATGAAGCATCGCAATTTTCATGACTTTCAGTTCCTCTAGCGGGAAGTACGACTCATAAAAACGATCCCCAAGGACTGTGCACCGACCAATCATCGTCCACATAACAGAAAATGATTAAGATTGTTGAGGCTAGTGTAGTATTAAACCTAACTGTCATCAAACAACAACAAACAAGGTCAGATGGAGGGACGAACTGTTATCAGAATGGAACGGAGATGTCAAACCATACGGTGACCTTCAGCTGTGATACAATCAAATGCGGAGCCCAAGAGAAAGCTGCCCAGTATAAATATTAATGTTTTAGGGAAATAGTCAATCCGGATGCTCTAAATGAGTGACAAATCTACATCTTTGCGTACAAGACGTACCACGGGGTGATTAGGTAGGGCAAATAGATACGGGTATTTTGGCCCGTCGACCTATCGAAGACAGGCCTTGCTAGAATAGTGGTGTGCTTATAAGGAGTACTACCTCACTGACTGTTCTGTCTGGTTGGGTTGGCACGACGCCGAACGAGGACGATCGTGAACATGGTCTTTGTTCAGTCAGACGGATGGTAGGCCAAAAGAGTACCAGGAACCAAAACGCGTTTTAACCAATATCAGTTAAGCTCTGGGACACCATAGCGGGGTTACATTGGTCACTGTGGCCACCGAATCCAACAGTTTTTCCATGGTTTCGACGGCGCACCGCCGCTCCGATATGCACTGTCCAATGTTGACGCTTGTTAAACCTACGGTGAGCATCTGCCGCACTTTCATTGCATAGCATCGCCAACCATACTTTGCATTCGGATCGGAGACATACGCTAACGAGGTACATTGGTGAAAACTAAATTCCGCAGGGCTCCACTCGTCACTGATTGGGGGATTTCGTTTTTTATGTGGTAACTCCAAATCGTAGATATCAAGAGGGGGATCTGTTCCGGCGTTATGAGCCATAGCTATTTGAAGAGTCTAAGTCTTGACTTAACTGCATGTGGAACAGATGGGAAAAAGAACAATCCATCTTGAAATAAAACTTTTTGCTTTTTTTCTATTGATTCCGTACTCCACATATGTTAGACCCAGAAAAATAGAAATGAGCATTCAGAACAGATACCTGACTTGATCTTTTCGAGTTCGTTTGCTGGGCCACGATGTCTTATTAACAGAACGCGTGAGGATTGAGATTCCACAGTAGTTGGCTTAGCTAACACTGAGCACGTGGTTGATTTTCATTCCTGTGTGTTTGATTTGCATTAAGTCCACAAATGTGATCCTTTTTCTGCGTGCACTCGACGTCTCCGTGTACTCAAGACCATACGACTGGCAAAGCTTCCACGAACGAGTAAGTCGTTTGGCCCGGCCGGTTAGTTTCACAGTTACGGGAAAGCGTGCATGATGATTTCAAGATCACTGATGTTCAGTCTGCGAGCAGATAGGGGTATTTTGATCAAACTTCAGTCCCAGTACACATTGCAGTTTGATACTTTTCATGTGACCGGTGTTTGGTAAAGCAACAAATGCGATTAGCTTTGCGAAAATGGCAGATTGGATGGGTCAATTGTATCGCTGTTCAACAAAATGATCAACTCTTCACTCAGACTACCCCACATTTTGCATACATTTGCACCGCAGGAAGTCAAACTAACCACCTCAAACACTTGCAGCGTTCATTTCTATCCGGATTCAACGGACGTGTTGAATGAACTGATTTCCACCTCTACATGGCGAATGCAGTCATGATAGCTCAGGTCATCTGCACGTATACCGCAAGTACTCTAGCAGTTATGTGCCTAAATACTGATCAGTAACTTTCGACAAAACAGACACCGTCAGTTTCCGACCCTGATGGTAAAGATGACGGGCACTGCGAATCTATGCCTAACGCGATGTACATCATGATCAGCTTTTTTTAACTGCGAACACACACATTTCACGGGACATGAGTTGAACCAGGTTCAGAAGCGCTCCTAATCGAGACATGACAATTGGACGAAATCTTCATTTTCAAAGATGTCGGATAAAAGTGTGTGCTTCTTAGACACAATATTGTTATGCGAGAAATCTTAATGTCCAGCAGCATCGCGTTCTCACAGTTAGCATCAAGATGGGTTTGTGCTGAGGGGCCTGGTTGATGAACCAACGGGCATTCAAGTGACGGGCAAATGCGTAAGAATTGTGCGGCAGGTCCGGCTGTCAAGTCAAGTCATGTCACTCAATATAAGCTTTATGTACCCAAATTGGCGCATTTTCAGCATTTTATATTAGCAACTGTAAATTTGCCAAACGGGTACCTACAAAAATCCTAATTTTCAAACAGCGCTATGGTCATATAAGACCATCACCGCTTGTGGAATTTCCAATCAGGGTCTTTGACTATGGAGCCATGGGGCGACGCATTCCGTCATACAACATAGCCTAACTTTCGCGTTCTCCTTAAGTCCAACATGATATGATGGTGCTCTCAACCATTCCAACTTGTCATACGAAAACTGGTTCGCCGTTAAACGTGAATCAAACGCAATTTCCTTGGTCGAGAAGCGAACAAGCGAATCAATCCACACGTTTCCGTTCGTTCCTAGTGCAGCATACTGCGGCATCAGAATCAGCCTGCTCCGGAAGGAAATAAAATTGTCATTGGTGAAATCAGGTGCGTTCACAAGATTAGATCCATGTGAATGAGCGTACTCCCAGCAGGTTACATGTATGCGGTGCGATTCATGATTACAGAAATTTTGCTGACGAAGGACCTGGCGGCTAGAAGTGTAGAGGATCTCGTGCTCGGCAATAAATTTTAAGACAGTGAACAAGACAACCCAATATTTCTGGTAGGTGTTATGGTGGCTGGTCAGATTATGCGGAAGATCGAAGCTGGTCAAGGTTGGTAGCAATCCCAAGAGGAAATAACCCATCAAAAGTACGTGTAGAATGAACACTGCAGAAGAAACCCGAAGAGCTAACTCTCCAGTGAACCATTTGTAGCCCTGACCAAGGTGGCGAGTGAAAGTAGATAGGTAGACAGCAACACAAATTCTGCCGTTCGATGCTACTTGAGTAGAAGTGGACTGTTACCGCGTAATATGCCTGAACAATTGAGCACTCAGTTGGGAACCGACGGAAATCTCATTTCTTACCCTACTTACCTAGCTGGTTCAAATAGACTGGTCTGTCTACGAACGTCTGCTGGTCCGTTTACCTGCCTAACCCAATAAATAAACAGCATTTGCCTACGAAGTCAAGGTTCTGTGTTTTACCTGTTCTCATGCAAACAACTCGAATTCAGTCCAAGTCATGACAAGGGCTATGTAGCCAACTTGATGCATTGTCAGCTGTTTACATTGTCGACTACACATGTACTAAATTGACATCTTCAAAAATTCATAGTTGTACAAATGGAAAAAATCAAAAGGAAAAGGCGCATCGTTGTCACTCCAGTAAACGACTTCGCATTCCCGGGCAACGATGGTACAAACTTGGACAGAAGCTTCAGGATTGGTATCCAGTCAACAAGTAGATTTACTAAACATTTTTTCATGACTGGTCTCTTTTGACTTAAAGTGTTGTGTCCAAAAGCGTTAAAGCGGGAGTGGTGTGCAAAATCTCAGAGTTGTATTCCCCATGTGTGTTGAGTAAAACGGTCTCAGGAATCTCGAAGATTGTTTGAACAAACATGCCGTTAGACTATTCTTGCAAAACTGCCTTAGCTGCCGTAACTAACGCTAAATTGATGTTGGGCGGGAAAGATAACGGTCGATTTAAAGACCCCACAGACGCTTCCAACATAGATTTGCAACGTAGTTTCCGAAATATTTCCTGTTGGTCGAGCTGTGGAAATTGGTACCAAAGCACTCCAAAACTAGACTCATGCCACTCTGTTTTGTACACACGAACTACACAAGCTTTTATTACCTCATCCGTAACTTCTTTCTGTTTTCAAGTCCACACCCTTCTTTGCAATTTCTTATGAATTGAATGATTCACAGTTCACTTATATTTGTTACATTTCTTCTCTATACGACTTTCGGGACTAAACTCCATCCGACAATTTGATGAGAGTATTGTCACCAATGAACGAGACACTTTTGGGGAAATATCTCACAGGTGTCTGGGCGTAAAAGGAATCGCAATTCCTCACAATTGACGGACAACCAATTTACACTGAGTTCTGAATGAGATGTGTGCATAATGACCAGACCAGGTATGTGAGATTGTCTCACGTTTCCGAAAGATATGTATATTTAAGATTATACACTTAGATGGCACAATTGCTTTGATCGAAATTATTCCCGTAATGATTTCCATGGAAACAGAAGTCTCGTAAATTAAATTTTTGGGTAAAATATTCATCATTTAGAAGCAGAATTCAGATCTACAGGGTGACTTGAAGTAAGCCGGTCTCCTGGACGTTACAGCAGACCCTTCGAGGTCAATGACAGTACCTTACTGATATTTTAACATGTTGCATACTTGAATGCCCGTTGATGTTTTGGCTGCTGTTTGCTTGTCAAAACTTTGTTCAGTGCTTTCCGATTTGCTTTATTCTTATGGTTATTGTTGTGTATTCTGTCAGCATTCTTGACCTAGTCTAAACAGACAGGTGCACACAACCCCAGACACACACACACACACAAAGCGTCCAATTCTCTGCTTCCTTATTGGTTCATCATTCTCCTTGTGACAACTTAATGTACTCACCCAGTTAGACATTGATCAGATTACAGCAGTTCGTTCATCAGAATGACCTTTTAACTTGCTCGTGCATTTTGACCTTACGTATACAACAGTTATGCATTCATTTATTCTTTTGTCCAGTATCTTTATTTTTCCATCTTAAAACCAGCATCCTCAAGGTGTTGAGTGAAAGAACCCATTAGTACCACGGACTGGCACATATGTTTCCCAATCTACAATTCACTTGTAGCTAGCAATGGATTTATCAGAAATACTGTCGCGTGTGCAGACGTACTGGCGCCGATCGTATGACACAACATCTATAAGAAGAGCGGTCAACATAATGTTCTCGAAAAAGCCGCAGCCAAAATGAAAATAACTAAAGCAATGCATCGATGGATCCATAGTTTCGCTACATTACTACAAACACATGGGGCGCTATCGCATCGTACTAACCCACATCCCCCAAAATCACCAACGAAATTCGGGCACTCAGAAATCCTGAAAGGTGCGCACACTGATGCAGTTACTTAAAAGAAGAAATCCCAAACCTAATCAAGCAATTTGTACTTAGACGTTAAACGATGGTTGAGTAACGTGCGACTTCCTCTCTTAATGCTAGTCAATCAACCATAGCTTTGTCTCATCATTTGTCATTGACACCCAAATGGCTAACTTCTAACTCTCACTAAGAACGAACGAACTGCTGTGCACATCCATTTGACATTGAAAGAAGCGCAGAACACCATGGAGTCCATGCAACCATGAACCCCTTTCGGACCCAGATGGCGTTCCGTGGCTGTCATAAGAGTGGGTGATAAAAAGATGTCTCTGTTGTTACCAAACACTCCCATACCTGGCTAACTACCGTTTATTTCAAATCTCAGTGAAAGTATTTAATCACAATTCCAATAGAAAATGGTGGTCCGTGAAACTAGATGTCAGGCTGCCGTCCCACAAATCACAACTCTGCTACCCCTAAAAATTTCAAAAAATAATTAAGAACGTCATAGTTCAGTTATTTTACACGACTTGATTTGACCAATCAATCATAACATGGCTCTATTTTAAAGTGCCAATGCGTTGCCAGCAACTTACAATTCCTTGATTAGGTTACAACCATTTAAAATGTTTTGGAAAACTGGTAGCTCGGGTTGATAATTCAATTGCTCATTTGTTCGCCGAGCTGCGAAATTGGTTTGCAAATGTTTCACCGTCATGCGAGACGGCATCATCAGTGCGTCGAGATATGCAGTGTAATCTCGTTGATTGAATTGTCGACCCGT